TCCTGAATTTGCCAGCTCCCAACACAGCGGTATAGGAGGACATGGCTGCACACCCCAAAAGGCGCTTTGGGGCCCCACAGGCTCCGGCCACCAGCTCTATGCTTGCATTGATCAAACATGCGATCTCATAAAGTGAAGGGCTGAGGGGCCTACCCACAAAGTGCCTTGGACAACGTCTCACTTATAGTGAGTGTTCAATAGGTGATTCCAGGCAATTAAACAAAACGCAATCGTGGGCTTCCACAGCCCATGCACTGCAGAAATCTCTGAGCCAAACTGACCGAAGTCTCACAGAGTCTCTGGCCATTATTTCCAAACTTGAAGGAATCCCTATGCTGAGAATTGCCTGGCAAAGCCCTGGGAGCTGATCGGAGCCATTTTTATGAATATTCATGTTAAAAAAAAATCTGTCTGAACTCTTCTTTCCGTAACTGTTAATAAAAGATTATACTATGGAACTTAGAGGTTAGTTGGATGTGGTGGTTTATGCCTATAATCCCAGCATTTAAGACTGAGGCAGGAGGATTGCAGAGATCAAGGTGAGCTTGGGCTCAGAGCCAGACCTTGCCCCTTTCAAACGCTGAGAGACTTAAGACAGTTCAGAAAGCTACTCTGAGAAGCATCTGCAGGCAAAGAACAATGGTGACAGAGGGAGGCACAGGCGTGCAAGGAAAGCCAGGAGCTCACTGAAGCTGCCTGGAAGCCACAGGCATGCGACTTCTCCTCCTGGCTGGAAAACTTGCTTCCTTCTCTTGAGGGACTCGCCTAAGCTCTGAATCTGCTTCCCATCCCTCCCAGGGAAGCTGTGGCGATGTATCAGCTCTTGTCCGGCTCAGTGGGGCAGCCCAACAAAGAGCTTTAATGTTTCTAATGAGGTCATCCCCATTAGAGGCATGCCGGAGAAGTGAAGGTAACCAAAATTAAAAAGAAACACCGCTCAAAGCAGCTATAGGGAAAGCCTAGCAGACTGAACCCGAGGAGTCAGGCTCGAGCTGTGAATGACAACTTTCTCCCTATCCTAGCTCACTCTGCGCTCATTCTGGAGGGTGAGCAACCTTTGGTGAGATAAAATAAAGCCAGGTGCAGAGAAGCCTGACTGCAATAAGCCAGCATGCAAGAGCCATAGGCAGGAGGATCGCCATAAGTTCAATGCCAGCCTGGATTATATAGCAAGGTCCCACCTTCAAAACACTCAGGAGGCTCAGGAGATGGCTTAGGGAGAAAACTCACACAATCCTGAGCATCTGAGCTCAGGGTCCCAGAACTCGCATGAAGCTGTGGGGGGAGCACACATCAGTAATGCCAAATAGCTAGTTGTACGAAGCAGAACACAAGACCCTGCCTCATGAAGGACACGCAAAGATGCCCAAAGTTGTCCTCTAACTCTGCATGCCCACACTCACACTGTACACACAAAGGTCTTCTTCTCCAAAGAAAAACAAAACCTAAAACCCTAAAAAAATAAAACCACTGAATCTGTACAGAATCGCCTTCCACTTCTCACAGGGCTGCTGTCTGGAAAAGAGGAAGACATCTCAAGCTCTCTGAGCGCCAGCCAAGTTCAATGAAGCAATCCAGAGAGTAGAGAAGCGAGCAGAGGCTAGATCTGATGGTAAGCAGCTGCGTTCTGCCCCTGTGACTGATTCCTGGGAGTAGCTGAGTAGACCAGAAGGCAATAGGGATTGTTATTAGAATTATATCATAGGAGAGGTCTCCAGAGTGAGTGATGTCAAAATTAATGCTGCAAAAAGATTAAGTTTGTCAGCTGCTTGCCATTTAGTCCAAGAGATGGATGGCTGGCCCAAGGAGAAAAAGGTAGGCTTTCAGTTTATCTTGACTCATCTGAGGGAGTTAAAATGATTATTATATTTCCAAACAGAGGCGTTAATAACTTGAAATTCTATTAAAATACACCACTATAGTTCACAATAAAAGACTGAACAAATAATTGGGACACAGCAAATGATTTAGAATAATACTGTTTTGTTTTGTTTACTATAAATTGGTGAAGTGACTGACAATGTGGACATTTTGAAGTCACTTAACTAAGTGACTCTTTTGGGGGGCGGGGGAAGGCCGCAAGCAGCATCACATGAGGCTATATATAGTTATATTCCCATAAACCCCTAGGGGTTAAGGGATCATAGATACACTGTGTGTGTCGATACATACCTATAATTCCAGTGATCAAAGGCTGAGGCAGGAGGATCATGGATTTAGAGCCAGGCTTGCTATAAACCAAGAGAGACGCCAGCCTGAGAAATGCGAGACCTTATCTCAAATAAGATATGGGGAGTAGATTAGTTAAAAGCATATACAAAGCCTGAGGTTTAATCCCTAATACTGAATAAACCATGCGTTGCTGCAATCCCAGCACTGGGGAGGTGGAGACAGGAGAATCAGAAGTTTAAAGCCATTCTTGGTTACCTATATTGTATGCTAACGCCAAGCCAGGAACATGAATGAGTTGCTGTCTCAAAAGAAAAGAGAGAGAAAACCCTTAGAAGAACAACTGTGAGGTGGGTAAACATGCCTCCAACCCAGCCAGCTCTCCTTTCCTTTGCTGTAAATGCATGTGCAAGAAAACAAAATAGTAATCACATGTTTCTCCAATATTTTCCTATGGTCTTGACACAAGTGGCTCCAAAATTTATACACCGACAACGGAACCCTGAGGGAGTTTAGTAGGTGGTGAGGTCATGAGGGCAAGCCTCAAGGAACCCCCACTCTTCTGTGTGAAGACATGGCAGACAGGCACAGCCTGAGAATCAGTACAAACCCTCCCTAGATACACAGCCTGAGGGAGCTTTGACCTTGGACTTCTAGAGCAATGAAAAGTGGCTGTTTATAAGCACCTGATTCGTGGTACTTCGCTACAGCAGCCCAGTAGGCTAAAGAAGGCTTCATTCTACAACAGTGGCTTTTTAATTATCTGGTCATATTTATCAAGTGAACTAAGTGGCTTAAACATCCATTTTCTCATGTTCTGGCTCTCCTTTTCTTGTCTTTATCCCTGCTTCCTGCTGCTTGCATGTGGACTGAGACGCTCCCTTGTTTGTGATTGCTACTGCTGTTTCCCTCTGCCGTGCTTGGCCGGATAGCGCGTTATAATCACCTGTGGCTACAACGCCACCCTTTCTGTCTTGGTGTCTCCCCTGGTATCAAAGCAATGGAATCCTTGCCCCATTGTGGGTGGGCTTGGATTGAAGACAGTGTCTAAGAAGGACCTGCCAGGTGCTGGTCTGTTTCTGTTTTCAGAATTTCACTGCTATCAAGAGTTAGTTCCTCTGCTAGCTCCCAGGGAACGAGTTGTTCCCACCTTTAGGCTGTCCTGTCTGACATGACTATTCACTGTAGGGGAGAAGTCATACACAGTTGTATAAAATACAATTTTCAGTGTTTTATAGCTGTATTAATTACAAGATTAATTCCAAATGTATTAGCTAGGCATACTGGTATACACCTGTCTTCCTAGCTCTTGGAAAATGAAGGAAAGAAGACCGTAAATTCAGGGCCACTGTGGGCAATATAGTAAGATCCTGTTCTAAAAACAGCATAAATCAGATGTAATCATTAAAAATATTATAAATCCTTTTTCCTTATTTTCTATAAAAAGATAGCAAAAGGCATTTTATTGTATCTTAGAATTTGTAAAGCCATTAATATTATGTAGGGCACACTCTTTGTAAGTTTTCTTTTCTAGAATGTTAGTGGGGGCTACTGAGAAAATACAGGGACAGTAGGAAATACGGCTTAGGCGGCCAGGCATGATGGGGAGCACCAGGATTTTGACTCCTGTCAGGAGATTTTGAAGGCCATTCTCCAAAGGTGAGTCCTCTTTCAAGGCAGAGTTCCTACTCTGGTGTTACCTCTTCACCAAAAAAAAAACTTAGAGCAAATGAAGTTGGGGTTCACAGCAATTTCAAGCCACTCACAACCCAAAGGTGCCTGTCGATAAGTGCCTGTGTTTTCCTGACACCTGACTAAAGTTTTACCATCTATTAATCACGGCTCAGCACCCCAGCCCCTGCATTTCCCTGTGTTCAGCAGCTCTAGACGCCTACAAATATGTTTTGCTATAAATTACTGGCACCGTTTCTGTTGATATTCAGCATAATCAAACATTTGTAAGCATGCTGCCTCCTCAATCTGCTCAGCTGATGCACTCTACCTGATCTTTCATTAAAGTAATCAAAACACTTGCTGTGTCCCATCTAATGAATGTTGCATGTATGATTAAGTGCTTTCATTCATATTGCAAGTTTGATTTAATGTAATCTGCCTTTCAGACAGCCATTAGCCTAGCTCCTATGTGAATTCGATTAATTGGCTGAATTCTTCCAGATGTCCATTAAGCATTACAGGAATTTGTGGAAACAGCAGGGCCTGTCTAGCTCAGAACCAAACAATGAGATGTTATATTGCTGCCATGACTTACCAAAAGCTGGATTCATTTTCATTAATAAAACATCTGTACTCCTGCACAGCTATGCATTGAGATGCATTTATTTTATATGTTTATTTCTCTTATGACCGTAAAAAGATAGTTAAACAGAAGCACATTTGCTGATATGTAGACTCAAGGTTTGGCAGGTGCTCACCGACAAAAGAGTTCAATTTTTCAAGTCTACAGTAGGTCTTACACAGAAGGAAAGAGGCTAACAAACACCTGTTTGAAGCAAACTTTAAAAACACACGGGGCTGCTGCGAAGGGACTGCTTTAAGCGGTATTAGAGACCTACTCTGAAAACGATTTGGTAGTCTTGACACCTCCACACCTATTGAGTCTTTGAAAGGGGCAGGTGTGACCTTTTTTCCCCCTTGTACAGTTGTTGATCAGCAGAGGCCTGGAAAGGAGGACCCAGTCAGCGTTCACAGACCACACCACACGCCCAAGCGCGGGGCAGGCAGGGGTGACTGACGGGAGGAGGCAGAAGGCCTCCTCAAGAGCAAGTGGGTGGCAGAGGCCCGGTGTCGCAGGGCCCTAGGCCCGCCTCCGCTCAGTAGGCGTGGTTAGACATGAAAAGGGATTCACTGGCTGACACCCCTGACTGACCGATGGCGTTGTACTGCCCCTGAGAAGCAAGGCTGTTGATCAGAGCACGCTTGATAAACTCTTCCTGGGCTGCCTTCGTGTTCGATTTCTTCCCGCCCCAGGCCTTTAGGGCAGAAGCCTGCAGGGCTCGGCCATAGGAGAAAGTCAGGGCCCATGGCTTCAGCAGGGGACACTTGTTGATGGCATTGAGGTTGATGGATGCCTCTTCCTCACTCTGCCCTCCAGACAGGAAAGTGATTCCGGGGACAGCGGGAGGCACTGTGCGACGAAGTGCTGTGACGGTTGCCATGGCGATCTCCTCATTAGAAAATTTCTGGGTGCAAGAATGGCCTGGAGTGACCATGTTGGGCTTCAGCAAGGTCCCTTCCAGGTAGACGTGGTGGTCGCTCAGCGCCTTGTAGACAGCAGCCAGTACCTTCTCCGTTACATATTGACAGCGCTTCAAGTCGTGGGACCCATCAGGGAGGATTTCCGGCTCGACGATGGGCACAATGGCATTCTGCTGGCAAATGCTGGCATAGCGGGCCAGAACATTGGCATTTTCCATGATGGCCAGGGTTGTGGGGGTGTGTTTCCCAATCTTCAGCACACAGCGCCATTTGGCAAAGTCGGCTCCATCCTGCTTGTACTGGGCACAGCGTTCAGACAAGTCATCCAGCCCCTGGGTGGTGGTCTCGCCATCAGTCCCTGCCAGGGGCACCACACCCTTGTCCACCTTAATCCCCACGACAATGCCCTTGGACTTGATGATATGGGGGAAGGGACGTCCATCGTCCGCCTTCTGGTACAGCGTCTCGTGGAAGAGGATCACGCCCCCGATGCAGGGGTTCATTCTGTCGTCGGCGGTCAGCAGCAGCTGGCGGTAGGAGCGCCTGTTCTCCTCCGTGTTCTCGGCCCCAATGGTCTGCAGCCGCTTGGCGATGCTCGCGGTGGACTCATCTGCAGCCAGGATCCCCTTGCCTGGAGCCACAAGCCGGTGAGCGATGTCAGACAGCTCCTTCTTCTGCTCAAGGGTCAGCGCTGGGCACGGGCAGGTCATGATGCTGGGAGCAGCACATTCCTGGCACAAGACGGGCTGGATGGTCTGCGTGCCGTGGCGGGCAGGCGAGAGACTGTGGAACGTTCGCTGCTAGGGTCACCAGAACCTGCTTGCCTCTGTGGCGTGTTCCAAGAGAACACAGCCTATTCCGCTGGGACCTGAGCTTGGTTCCCAGCACCCACACAGGGCGGCTCAGGAGTTCCTGTTACTCCAGCTCACATATGGTGCACATACATACATACATACGCACATACAGTCATATGCATAAAATAAAAATAAGTAAGCCGCTTTTTTAATCTAAAAATCTTTTCAAATTAGATAGCTTTATGAAATAATGTTTCTATAATTAAATGCAATCTCTGCTGTAAAGATACACAGTACGGAAATTTAAGACTAAAATACCTTCTGTCCCCCCTTTTTGTTTTGTTTTTGTTTCTCCAGACACGGTTTCTCTGTGTAGCCTTAGCTGTCCTGGATATGCTTTGTAGACCAGGCTGGCCTGGAACTCCAAGAGATCAGCCTGCTTCTGCCTCCCTGAGTGCCAGGATTACAGGCATGCACCACCATGCCTAGCTTCTTGTACCCATTCTTTAAAAAAAAAAAAAAAAAAAAAAAACATTTGTGTGTATGTGTGTGTGTGTGTGTGTGCGCGCGCGCGCGCGTGCGCGTGTGTAAGTTGAAAGGTAACTTGCAGTAGTTGGTTTCTCTCTTTTCATCAAGTGGGTGGCAAAGACTGAACTCAGGCTCAGCTTGAGTCTTGGAGGCAAGTTTTTTTTAATATATTTTTATATTATTTAATATATTTTTGTTTTAATATATTAATTACAGTTATTCATTTTGTAACCCAGCTGTAGCCCCCTCCCTCATTCCCTCCTCATCCCACCCTCCATCCCTCATTGCCAGGCTACAGAGGAGGACAATCCAACCAGTCCTGATCAAACCTGATAAGCTAGGGTCAGATGGAAGGGGAGGAGGACCTCCCCTATCAGTGGACTTGGAGAGGGGCATGAAGGCAAGTTTCTAATCTCTGAACCATCTCTTCAGCCCTATCCATACCTAATACAATTAGAGAAAATATATTAAAAGGAAAGGGAAAAAAATAAAAATAAATAAAAAAGAGGAAAGGAGAAAAAGTAAACAACCTCAAGATAAGATCATCATACAAATGACTCTGGAATAACTAAACTTGGAACCATTATTTCTCTTTAAACGACTTCTAAATTAGTAATCAGTCCCTTGCTGGAGCTTTTCAAATCTACTAGTCTAACCTAGGTAAGAAAGTGATGCCAGCAAGAACAGGGCATCCTTTGGAGGCCGGTCATCGGTCACCATGCCCTGCAAAGGCTGTGCCAGCAAACTTTCTGTGATGGGCATCAAATCTGCAGACGTACAATGAGAAGCTTGTTAGCCAATTTTTAGGGCACAGAATTTCCACCAAGAGAAAAATAGCTGCTGGTCATCTCGGTCTTGCTACCAAAATGAAGTTTCAAAGATAACCAAATTTGTCATGTTTTTATAGTCATTCAGGAGAAATCCACTGATCGTCTGCTATGGAAATACAAGGACACATACGGCACAGTCCACAAGAAAGCATATATGACATGATAAATGGCACTCAAATCCTGTGACAGCACAGTAGCCAGGCTGCCTCTCTCCAGTCCCCTCAAGTTCACAGAGCAGTGAGCAGTTTGACCTACTACTTGGAAGATGAGCAGGAGGAACCCAGTCCACATGGGGAAAGGAGTGACAGGTGCTTCTCAGACACCATGGTGACACATGCGGGAGGGGGCAGCATGACTCCCCATCACCCAGCCTTCCTGTCAGAGGCATCACCTGAGTGGTGGCCTTGGGCCTTCCAATCCACTCAGTCTCTCTCTGATCCCCTGTTAGGGGAGTGACTCGTGTGGAAGCTCAGTTCAGCCCATCCTCCTGTCCTCTTTCTTCCGATTGGCCTGGGCTGCTCTTGGCATGTCCTGGCCTCCCCTGAGAGAAGCTACTAGTTACCAGCTGAAGTCTTCCAGAGACAAGGTGTGTAACTGTCTAGAGTTCAGAATGAAGCAGCCTCTCACTTTCTGTATCTAAATCAGAGCCTCCAAGCTGGCCACCTGTAATAAAGATGAAGCTCACTCCCAGACTGCCTTCGTACATAGACATGAACTCAGACAGGGAATGGGGAGGCCACTGATTGTCCCCAGTGAGCAGAAAGAACCGTGCTCAGGAAATGTGTAAGTGTGGCTGGGGAGATGGCTCAGTTCATAAGGTATCAAGTCACACAAACTTGAGGACCCAAGTCTGTATCTTCAAAACCTACCTAAAAGACCAGGTGTGTCAGTGTGCACGTGTAATTCCAGAACTGAGGAAGCAGAAACAGGAAAAGCCCTGAAATTCGTTGACTGGACAGCTGAACTAATAATTTTCACACTCAGAGAGAGACTCTTGTAAGATAATTAATTAATTAATTAATGGTGGAGAGAAAGGAGAGGCATCTGATGTTGACGCTGGCCTACACACACACACACACACACACTCACAACATGCTCATACATGGGCACACACACGTACCCACACTAACAACTGCATACACACATACAATACATACATACACAAAGGACACACAAAGAGCCACAGCCACCACATGCTCAGAAAGCTAAGTGCAGTGAGAGGGAGGTGAGAGAGACTAGAAAAGGAAGAAGGTTGGCGAGAAAGCCACCACGTGCTGGCAAGAGTCACTTGACTGCGGTTATAAAGATGGAGAGATTCGATGACGTGGATGTGACTCCGGACTGCTTGGACAGTGACTTCCAAAACTGATCATACTCCAGCCCAGGCATGGAGATACTCACCTGCAATTCCAGTACTTTTAAGGCTCAGTGAAGATGACCGAGAGTTTGAGGCCAGCCTGGGCCAATGAGGATCAGCCCAGCCCCACCCAAATAAAAAGAACCCTCAAAAGAAAGAAGAACAAATACTTTAAGAACCATAGAGCTTGGATGCAATCCACCATTCTGTGAATCCACGGATATCTACTTTGGCAAACGCTTTGGGTGGTTCTCATGCTGGGTATCTTGGGAAAACACTATTTGGAGGCCCAAGCTAAGCTTTATGATACTAGAAAGTTTCCTAAAGATGCTCACAGCCATGGTCATGAAACTCCTAAGATACTTAAATACAGACCACAGTACTAATTTACTTGTACTGAGACTGATACTCAGGCACCATACTAAAATAGCTCCCCTCAGGAGACTGAGGCAGGAGGATTGTTAGCTTGAGGCCAGTATGTGCAACTTATCAAGACCCCACCTTAAAATAACATACACTGTAACTGTAGAAGGACTGAGGCCCTTGGGACTTTGTAGGAAAATCATGCAAGAAGCCATGTCACCACCAACAGCTGCTTCGCCGTCTGGAAGTGCAGCCCTGAGGGCTAAGCAATCGCTCTACCAACGTCATCAAGATAGTCTGCTATACCCTCCTCCCTGCTAAGGTCGACTCCCCAAGGGTCTGCGGGTTGTTACCTGTACCCAACGACAGGCTGAGACTCCCTGGCAAAGTCCTTTTCTTGGTCTCTCCTTGCTGTAGATACCCAGAAACACATTATTCATGTAAGAGTAAGTATCCTTGATAATGGTACAGGCATACAGATACTAAATATATTAGCAGCATTCTCTAAAGGAACAAAACTGACAGAAGGAGCATGTGTGTGTGCGTGTGCATGTGTGTGTGTGTGCATGTGTGTGTGTGTGTGTGTGTGTGTGTGCATGTGTGCACACAAGCAATTTATTACATTGGCTATGATTACATTGCTATGATCTAGAGGCTGAGAATCCAGCAGTTGCTCAGTCCACCAGACTGGGTACCTCAGCAGTCTCTGGTGCTGAAGGTGGAAGATTCCAGGAGAACTGGTCTTCAGTCTTCAACAAGTTGCTTCTAGTACCAGCAGAAAAATCCTGTAGCAATGGGATAGATGAACTTGCCAGCAAGGGTGAGGGCAAGCATGCAAAAGCTTCTTTCTTCTGTGTCTCTTTACCTCAACAGCCACCAGAAGGGGCTGCACACATTTAGGGCTCTAAATGCTTCAAAGGCTCTGTCACAGAGGCATTTGGAGCACCCAAATGCCTCTTTCAGTTAGCTGCAGATGCAGTCAAGCTGATGGTCAAGATTAGCCCCCTACTAAGGCAGCCACACTTTTAGAAGATAGAGTCTTCTTTCTTTAATAGAGTTCAGGTACTTCCTGGACTGTCTACTTACAGAGCATTGTTCAGAGATAAACATGTCCATGAATGAAATTAAATTTCCTGACATTAGGGACTTGATTTGTTCATCACTTTATCCTAAGAGCTTGAAATCCTGCAAGACACTACCTGCTCCAGGCACGGTAGCCTGGCCTGAGATCTCAGCAATCAGGCTGATGCAGGAAGATCAAGAATTTGCAGCCAAGCCAGGCACGGTGGCGCATGCCTGTGAACCCAGCAGTTGGAGGCAAAAGCAGGTGGATCTTTGTGAGTTCAAGGCCAGCCCAGTCGACAGAGCAGGTCCAGGACAGCCAAGGCTATACAAAAAAAGCCTGGTCTTGAAAAACCAAAGAGAGGGAGAAAGGGAGACAGAGAAAGAGAGAGAAAATGAATTGTGGCCAGTCAAGGATATTGAAATTTTGGGGGGAGGGTATGGTGCTTCAAGACAGGGTTTCACTGTAAAGCCTGGGAACTTGCTCTGTAGACCAGGCTAGCCTCAGGGATCTACCTGCCTCTGCCTCCCAAGTGCTGAGATTAAAGGCATGGGCCCCCATTGCTTGGCTAACATTGAAAAAAAACTTTTATGTACTCAGTGAAATATTTTCTGGGTTTTTTTTGGAGTTTTCGATGGTTTGTTTTTTGAGCTGGGGGCCTTGCTATGCTGTCTGAGCGGGCCTTGTCCTCCTGAGTAGCTAAGAGAAGCTTACAGCACTGCCCCTGGCTTGCATGTGAAGGGAATGAATGATTAGCCTAATGAATGACATGACC